TCATGGAGTGTATTGTTGACGAATCGCGAATTCAATCACAGAAGCATCCAAAAACGCCCAAGAATGAAAAGGAACGTATTAGTCGCCGTTGCATTATTCGTGAGTTCTGTTTGAATACCTCCGTACATGCTCTTCCTGGTATTGCTCGCAGTACCAGCATACATAATCGTGTCTTTTGGTCCATTGCCTTCATTGCGTTTACTGGAATTATGATTTATTTTGTTGTTAAGGCGATTTTTGCCTATTTCGCCTATCCGACCAGTATGGACATAAGTTTTATTAGCGAATGGCCGCAGCATTTTCCTGCATTCAGCATTTGCAATGCTTCACCATTTCGTCTGGATCGGTTTCTCAAACCATTTTTAAACTACACCAAGGCCAATAACTTGACGAGTGGAAATGATACTGTGATTTCTGCCGTTCATATGAGGTCTATCCGAGAATTTATGGTTGATCTCACCAATCGAAACATATCAATTGAATCATTTTTTTATTCCCTGCCCTCCATATTGTACGAATGTACTTTCAACAATGTACCATGCTCAGCAACAGATTTTATTCGGTTTACATCATCGTCGTACGGAGCCTGTTATACGTTCAATGCCAAATTGAGAAATACCAATGAGAAGCCGATTCTCAGTGCCAATCAGTATGGTGGCGATGGAAAACTCTCATTAGGTCTCTTCATGCATAGCCATCAATATATACCATACTTCAAAAATGGTGAGTAGAATTGTGTTCTCATCAAATCAAAAATTTCGTCGTCATTTAGAGTTTGGTGCCATCGCTCTAGTACATGATAATACTGAAATGCCATTAATTGAAGCTAGAGGCATAGAATTAGCACCAGGACGAAAACATAAACTAGGATATCGAAAAAAGACAATCTACTTTTTGCCTCCACCCTACACAACATGTACGGGCAAGGTTTCTCCCATGATGCAAGCCATGTTTGATCATTACAACGATGCTGATTATCAATACTCTGAAACTGTCTGCTATCAACTTTGTGGTCAAGTTTATGCGTAAGCATGTTATATGAAATACGAGCAAGACATTGACTCATATGTCGCATATATTTCTTTATATATATAGATACGAACAGTGTGGTTGTGTTAATCCTTATCTGTGGAGTGGTCGTTCAATCATTGTGCCAGGCACCGATAAAATTATAGTTGCACCGAGTTGTAATACGTCCAATCAATGCTATAAGAAAGCAATCGAGAATCTATTGCATTCGTCGTTGTTGATGAACAAGTTTTGTTCTGATTGTTCACCTCAGTGTTCAAAAGTCACTTTTATTATACAACCATCATCATTATCAACGCCAGCAGAATGGCAAATGGATGGCATCAAAGCATTTGTAGAAAATTCAATGATTCCTTTGCCCGAAAACTGGTCGACGACTTGGCGTGAGCATATTTATCGAAATTATGTCGCTGTAAGCCTGATGCGTGAAGTCAATGTTGTCGAAAATGTTACACAATTGGCAACCCTCAATTTCATAGATGTACTTTCCAATGTGGGAGGTCAGACTGGTCTATGGATTGGCATTAGTTTTCTCTCTGTAATGGAATTAATAGAGATGTTCTATCGACTGATTCGATATCAGTGTCACTCATGTCGATCTGCTCTCAGAAGAAACCAAGAATCAATGCCTCAATAAATATGCTTTAATGTGTTTCTTTTTATTGGAATAATCGCGAATAGAACACAACGATTGCGGAAATTGTTTTCTCTATAACAAAAAATCGTAATAGACTGTCATTGAACAACCTCTTTTTGAATGCATTTTCTAAGGGATATGGATGTGTAAAGCTAGCACGATGCCAACATTCCACCTAAGCAACTAGAAGCTTCAGATGGTACCTGCAACGAATTTTAAAAGAAATTTCGAAACAAAGTATAATTGTACATTGTTACCGAAGTAATAGTAGAATTTTTTCAACAGAGTGGGTGTGAGTCTGAGGCTAAGGTGTGTAGAGCTACCATGATGTCGACAGTTCATCTTAGCAACAAGATTTATCAAATGGTACTTATTCCAATTCAAATTTCAAAAAGAAATTAAAATTAAAATAAAATAAAATCTATTTTGTTACATGAAGTAATAATAGACTTTGTTCTACAGAGATAAAAGTACGTGAGTTCATAAGAGAAAAATTCAAAGCATCAT